GCAACTTTTGCTTCCCGGAGACGCAGGTGGATCCAGGGAATGGACTCTCTGCTCCTGTTGCGCTAATTTGGCACATGGTTTCTGTATTTGCTAGGCATTTCTATTCATGCATGCGTGTGTGGGTGCGTTCTTGCTTATGCGGATTGTATTCTACGAGTCAATTCGGCCAAAAGCCCGCAATCAAGTGACTGGGAAGTATATGGGAGGCGGTTAGGAGTCGCCTACAGCAAACAAGCTTCATCAACACTCTGGAAGAGTGTGGCAAGGTAGCCTTGAGTATACCCAGCCCCCGCCCCGTTCAGAGCCCAGTAAGCTATATGTGGGCATCAAAAATGCTAAATACAGTAAAAAAAAACAGACCTCACTCCCCTGACCCCGAAAGGGACCCAATTTCGCAGCGTTCGGTAGACGAATACGGGGAGGCTGCTAAAATCTCAGAGCCAATGGAATCTGTCTGAATTTCAAATAACTATGGTGACGTTCTGTACCTACAATGCACGTACACTTGCATCCGAGTCCTCGATAGAAGACTTGCTCAAGCAAGCAAGAAGGATAAGCTACGACGTCATCGGCCTGGCCAAGACTAGGCGACGTCACCCATTCAACGCCGTCAGTGACAACTGTTCCTCGGAACATGCCACAGTAGAGGAGTCGGTGGCATCGGCGTTTTTGTCAACACGAGTTTGTCCATAAACATCCATTCATTCGCAGGGTGAGCGGTTAACTCGCAATTCCAGAAACGCCGTCCTCAGCGCTGGACGTGGGAATCTCCCATTGGAGAATGCTATGACGAAATAGACCACATATATAGAGAACATTCTTTACGAATATTGGAATGTTTTCTATGTAAAACAATTATAACCTTATGCCTTCTACAACACCTATCTATTTGTAATCGTCATACATCTATTCCTGCACATTCGGTAAATCATCTCTTAGCAACCATTTCATGCAATTGCCTCGCAGGTGGCTGGAAAGGGAATCAGCAGCAGTCAGCTGAATGTACTTTTCAGCATCTGTCGTTCCAAAAAGTCTCCGAACAGACACCTGCACCCTTCCACATGCAGCCCTATCAAATTGTGCTAGTAGAAAAACCTTTAGAACCCCTCTCTGGACGCCGTCTTTAGTTCTCTCTGGCAAAGCTCCACCCACTACAGATGTAATACAGGTAGCCCATAGAACTGGTCCTGAAGTGTTAGCCGCATTCGACCGGTCTGCTTCCGGTCCCTCAATTCCTCAGTGCTCCAACACCAGTGTCCGCGTTAATTCCTTCAAGTATATCACATGTTACCATTTCAATCCCGCTCTTATCCACCCAGCTTACATATCGCCAAATATCACACATTATCGTAACACTGCTGCATTAATTACATAGTTGTACTGTCACGCCAATTCCTTCACTCATAAGCAACCTGAACACCAGTGATCAGGCTGCGCCTACTCATAACCTGTATCACTGTTGCATTATCTGTAGAGTTGCATTGTTATGATTGTGGTATAATCATGATAAAGGTTTAATTACCCAAGTTCGAGGTGTTCGGCATTGTGACTACTAATCACAAAAAGTCCCGCGTGGCGTACACAAAAGCGAGCAGCTGATTCCGACCAAATTGTCCTAACTACTTGGTATTGCTATATTAACGAGCCGTCCCAACAACATAACAGTAAATAGAAGAATTTGCCTAACCGATGTCAATGTTCTCCTAAAATTCTACACGGAATCAGACCATCGTCTTCCTCGTGCAAGATTCTATTTCTCGCGGAAAGGAGAAAAAGCCGCTAAATTCCAAAACCAAGGTCCCAGAACCAACGCAAACTGGGACTTATTCAATTCATTTTTCGGTTGTTGGGAAGATGCCGTTGTCGATAACATCGACGAAGAATACAATCGGCTCATTCAACATCTTCACGTTAGCGCTTTGAAAGCTGAGAGTTCGAAAGTTACCAACAGACGTTTGTCTCCAGAAACACCCGAGCTGATACGCCGGCGCGGAATCGCACGAGCTGCAGGCAACCGCGAACCAACGTCCGAACTTGGAAAACAAATGCAGACAGGCGATAAAAGAAGTTCTTAAAGAGAGAAGAGCAGCAGTAATGGTCGAAGTTGCAGAGGCTGCGAAAATTATTCGCAAAGCCTACCGAAACTTCGCCAATTACAAGAGCACAATGATTGCACCTCGGGGCGCAGACGGAACAGTTACAGCGTCCAGAAAGACAATGGAGAAAATCATTCACGAATACTACTCAGATCTTTTCGATAGCCATATCCACCTTCTTTCATATGAAATAGAGGACAAAACACCTGAAGAATCTTCCACTAGTCCTCGCAAACACACTGGCTCGGCTCTTCACACGTTACCTGTCTGAATTCAAGGTCCCTACTCAGTGGAAGACCAGCAAGATCGTGTTATTGTTCAAGAAAGGTGACCTGCACGATATCTGCAACTACCGCCCAATCTGCTTACTGTCCGTTGTCTACAAAGTTTTCACTCGAGTCATCCTAAACAGGATTGACATAACACCAGTCAAAAAACAGCCATGTGAACAAGCAGGGTTTCGAAGAGGATTTTGTAAGATGGACCACATCTACACGGTAACACGCCTCATTGAAGTATAGCCAGAGTACAAAAGACCGCTCTGTCTCACTTTCATCCATTTATAGAAGGCCTTTGATTCAGCTGAGATAGAAGCAGTCTTGGAAGCCCTTGATAGTCAAGGAGTCTCTACTCAGTACATAAAGATTCTTCGTGATCTGTACAAACATTTTAGAAGCAAGGTATCACCGTTCTACCACGATATTAACATTGACGTCAAAAGAGGAGTTAGGCAAGGCGATACCATGACGCCAAAATTATTTGCCGCCACCCTCCAGAACGTCATGTGAACATTGGAATGGCATAACACGGGAGTGAAGATCGACAGTCGACAGTTACATCATCTTCGCTTTGCTGACGACATCGTCATTATAACACCGAACATTAGCCATGCGGAACGTATGCTTGCCAACTTTAGTAGAACCTGTGGAAAGATTGGCCTTCGAATAAATCTCATAAAAACGATGTTCATGAAGAACGGATTGGTTTCGCATGCCCCATTAACGCTCAACGGAGCGAACATCTCCAAATACACCAGTTATAACTATCTAGGTCGGGAAATCAATATGATGAACGACCTAGCTCTAGAGCTGAGCACAAGGAAACGTGCGGCTTGAGGAGCTTTCAAGAGCATCGAGGATGTAGTGAAGATAACAAAGAACACCCGATTCCGTGTCCACCTTTTCGACTCAACGGTACTTCCTGCCCTAACGTATGCATCGGTAACCTGGTCGGTGCGTAAGCAGGATGAAAAGTCATTCAGCGTTATCGCACTTGCAGTCGAAAGGACGATGCTGGGAGTATCCCGTTCCACACAAGTAAGGAATGAGATCCGAAGCTTCGATCTGCGTCAACGATCAAAAATCAAAGATGCCGTTCTGTACGCCAAACAGCCGAAGATAAGGTGGGCCAGACACGTAATGCGTATGAATGATAACCGATAGACAAGAGCCGTTAGTGATTGGAGTCCTCGTGATGTGAGACGTACTGCAGAAAGACCACCGACCCGATGGTCAGAGTTCTTTATAATGAGCCTTGAAGAAAGATATGATGCTCGATGAGTCCCTAGAGCCAGCAGAACCTACTGGACTACTCTTGCACACGACAGGGAAAAATGGAAGGTTTACTGGCGCCCGCTCGAGTCACTTGACGATCGACGGGACTACGGGTGATCCAGATAGAGAGATTGTAGAAAGGAACGAGTTAAAGAAACGAACGAATTAGGTCACATATGGTCTGATAGAGCGTCGTAGCGCAAGGCGTAATGCGCTCCACGTTGATCATTTCATTTGAGTAAAGGTAGTTCAATGCATATTTAGCAGGTACACTGACTTGCAGAGCGTACCCATGTACCAAGTCGTAATTTTTATCCTCCATCTGGTGTGAAGGATGGATCATGTGCGCACTGAAAGGCACCTCTAAGAAATCCACTACACGTAGCCTTACCGGAGCCCTATCGGTGAGGCGAATGCGCTTTTTTTGAAAAGTGCACCGATATGATGCAAATGAATCGTTTGTTATCTTTCTTTAGATTATTCAGCTTGCACGAGGCCGCTCTGTAAGATTTATTTAGCTAAAGTTTCGACGTCTTGATTTATTTGAAAGCCGGGTTGATCGATTGAGTTGATGGTCCACAGTCCCTTGTCATTGCGTTGTGGGTCTTCATAATCGCACATAGCCGAGTCTTCTTAAATAGGTGGTTGAGGTTACTTCTTGTCTTCCTTTATTCTTCTTAAGGCTAATTCACACGAACGGTGCTCTACATAATAACAACCAACTCGTAAGCCCTGAAGAAGTCAGAACGTAAGCCGAACAAACCTTTTATAACAACCTCGTGTAAGTTGAACAATCTAAGAAACCATAGTGACTGTTCACGCTGAGGTTAAGTGAATGTCAGTTTAGTAAAGTGTGAATTGTTTAATAATCAAAGTGATCAGATATGAGCAAAACCCAGAAGGGGTGATAGCAGGTTCAAAGCTAAACTAGGGTTTTGAGTTTTGCGCATATCTCAGCATCGTCGTGGTTGTGTTTCACGCACTACCCCTCCGAAAAAAAATAGCCGCAAATAAAAGTTAAGCATTGTTTGGTTATTGTTGCCCAATAAAATGCTGCCCCAAACTTGTTGTCCTAATTTAGTGGGATTTTCAGTGAGACTAGTCTACAAGACCATCTGGTAGATCCGTAAGCCACATTCCTATGTGAAGATAATTCAAAATTAAAACCGGTTTCGATAGCTTAACGGTACGAAGAAAAAAAACTACAAGAAACAAAAACGCATAATTTATTGTTCACCAAGAGCAAGAAGTCTTTGAGGATGAGTAACTTTAGAATACTCTCTAAAAGATGAAAAACTCAGTTTAACACCCAACGGTGTTCTATACAGTATTTGTGCAAATCAGACGGATATCAAAAGAGAATTCGCAACAGGATCAATGTCCAAATGATGGCGAACAGCTTAAAAGTTGAGGAAGAGACTTCAAGCTGTAAGTGTCCCTCTGGCTCGATCAGATCACCTTCTCGAGACCTCAGACGAAGCACCGTTTCTCCAGAAAACAACAGTGGACCCGGTACGAAATCTGGAGGTTGGGCTCCGTTGCAGTAGTCACCGTTGCAAACACAGAGCACGTATTCCATTGTGAAGTTGCTCGGATAACGAGAAGAAAGAGAGCGTACCATGTAGCATCTGAATTCTTCGATCAGGTATACAAAACGAGTACAATCACTAGCGTTAGAATTTTTTCTTTTGTGCAAAACTATGGAGAGCCATACACGACAGACCCAGTATTATGTTTTGTAGTTCTCTATCATTCTTATATGACAGTACAGAACAAAAAAGTTCAGTGATTATTTCTAATGTCCACGTAAAATAATAACAGGATCCACCACCTTCCTGGTATCAAACTAATCGCATGGTGACAAATCTCCCTCTGATCCACAAGAACGGTGACTGCTTGTGGTGGCGAAAACCCGGGCAGACCTTGGCCAGGTTCACCTCGGGATTCCAGGGGACAACAATAGCTTAACCAGCAAATCTCCGAAAAATGGAGATTATGCTGGAGCCCGCACAATCAGTGATGATGGGCCGTCCAAGTATTCAAGTAATGTGTACTTTATGATGTTGGTCATCACGAGCATGGTGCTAGTTCGATTCCGCTCCAGGCCAACCAAGCCTCTCATCTCTCCGAGATCGGGAAATTGGTACTGGACTTCTTCGGTAAAAAATCACTCTCTGCAATCCAATTGGGAGCACTCAAACTCGGCTATATCAGGACTCCAGTGAATATCAACTCGATCACCATTTTACGACATTCAAGATGAAGTGGAAATCGTCTAGCAGTAGCGGAAGCCGCACGTAAAAGTTGGAAGATCTTTGTGGATAATGGATGCGAAGAAACGAATCGAACGTGGGAAGTGGTGGGATTGAACAGCAGACGAGAAGACAAGTCATTATAGAAAAATGTGCACGATACAAGGGTGATTCAATGCTATTCTTCCATTTTTAGTCAAAAACAGTTCATTGCAAATCTGACAAATGGTAGCGTCTATGTTGTCACCATGATTTGGTCAATTCATGCCGTTCTTACTGATTTGCGTAAAAGTTTTAGAATCAGTCACAAAATATTGTCAACGTTCTAACGAGCTTGGACTTTCGAAACAATCAAAGAAGAACTTCAAAGTAGAAATAAAAAATAGAATCACCATGAACTATGTTTGGAGACAAAAAAACAAATAAATAGATTTTCTCGCTGCTATCTGAGATTTCATGCCAATTCATGCTAAGCAAAACGTTTAATATTAGTCGAGATCACAATGCTTAGCTTTTCATTTAGTACCTATACTTTCAGGGAGTAAAATAGGAAGAATAGGAAAACAGGAAAAAAGGAAAAGAATTGGCAGCTAATAAAAAGTTAAATATTCTAATTTCGACTGCAGCTCCAGCTCGACTGAGCTCAATGCCGATTTGTACCCCTAGGTCATTCTCCTTGACGGATGATTGCTGATAACGCCGTTAGAGTAGAAACTGGCTAAGAAAAAGGCGAAGTAAGGGAGTTGGGTGGTGCGATGGACATCACATGAGCCCACGGAAAAGACCACTGCAGATTTTAAGCGCGCTTAGGAATCTCAGTTTTGCTCATACATCAGCATCCTAATGGTTCGGTTGTATTTCTCATTAGCACTGTTGTCATTTACTTACAGGGTCTGTTTTCGAAAATGCATGCTATGTGCCATTTCCGTATTGTTATTTTGTTGGTTAAGAACGCTGTTTCTTGTTTTTGGAATGTTGAGAAACCTGTAACACGACGTTACTTGTCAACAAAGAGAGTCGCCGATCCTGTCTGTGGACCAAAAAAAGTTTGCTGCCCTCCCTGTGACAAGGTTGTTACCGATTTTAGTCGATACTAGTCGATAGTCGATAGTCATTTTTCCTAGACTATGTGAAGTGGTTTTTTCCAAAGCTCCTATTTTGTCAGTGACTTGTTATCCATTCTTTATTTAAGAGAGAGCCTAGTAAAATGTCATAAAAATTTCTACTTAGGACAATAAACGCGAAGATTTCGGAGATTGACTCAGATCTACCATTACTGCGTTCAGTTCGTTGTTCCAGCACAGCACTTTATAAGATTTTTGACAAACACTTGATTTTCCAAACAATAGAGAGAGTTGGGAACTTCATCAGTTTATCACAGACCTTGCTGTATTTTTACAGTTACCCGAAAATATTTTCTCAGTTTCGGATTTTTTCAGAATTAAGGTTTTCGAGGAAAAAAAATCGAAGCGACAAAAAATTTTTAGGCCTTTCTAGCAAGATCAAAATAGCAGTAAACATCAATGATTCCTTGTGAACATCACAGTGCCCTCTTGGACGAAATCCCGGTTGTTCAGCGCCCCGTCATCGAAATACGAGTTCAAGGAAAAAAAGCGGATAAAGCGATTTGTGAGCTCCAGAAAACCAGAAATTTATTCCAATAGGATAAAAAAGAATGTCTCTGCTCGGGAATGTTCTATTCATTTTTTCAGCTAACGAAATTCCCCATGAGCCCAGGCACCTAGGTTTAAACGTGAAGACCGCCACTATTTCGCCATCACACGCATTTAAATCATTGCGTAGCACGTGCGCTGTGTGTCAATGTACTTTCTCCATAAGGACTTGTACTCCACAAAGTCCACCTTTCAACGCATAAATTCGCGTCAGTGCGAGTTTTTCCAAACAAATTTTGACGGAGAAAGTGATAGAAGGGTTGTTGGTTTCGTAAAGTCAGCATTCCATAGTGGAGTGAGAAAAGCGCCTCTCTGTTTGGCATCATTTTAAAACATTAAGAACATAGATTTCGGAGAATACATAAATTCCACGCCATAGGAACTCACCCTTCGTTGTGGATGTTTTCTTTTTTCAAGTTATGTCGTAAGGTGTACTCCAGGCATCCGCGCACAACAAAACTGGAGTCTAAAATGAATAAGGATTCTGTGACTGTACCCCAACTTATTCAAATCCCAAGACTTTTAGAGATTGGACGAATACAACAAGACGAGCCGACACCGAACTATTAAGGTCGAAAAGACTTACTTTCAATGTTTGGTGTCAACGTCACACATAATGGTGAAGATGAACATAACTGGCCTTCAATTCCTGGTTGATTTGGGTCGACTTTTTCGCTGAATAAAGCAACTATTAGTAAAGTAGAAGCGATTTTTCAAAACTAACCCTCAATTTTTATTCTCAAGTAAACAACTAAAAATATAAGATTGAAAGTGCACCAATGCTTCATACAGTTCGCCCTTCAACACTACTGCAATTTCCGGAGCCTTTCCTTTTCTTCCTAATTAAACATTGTCAATATTCATTTTTATATTTACTGCCTACTACAGTTTTCACGGCAGCGTATTATACGAAAACAGCGACAACGATGCTGAGATATTTGCAAAACTCCGGACCGCGGGTGTATGCAGTAGGGAACCAACACACTGTTACCCTTTCCGAGGGCGGAGGCTAACACGTTCCGCAATATCCGTTCCGTTCCGTAATAGCGCTCTCGTTCCCCACCACAGACACCTGCGGTCCGGAGTTTTGCAAATATCTCAGCATCGTTGTGGTTGGTTGCCAACATTTTTGAATAAAATACTACGCCAAAATAATATCAGCATTGTACAAAGTCGGAACCAAACCGGTTACCTAATAATACAAAGAAAGTCATGGCATAAAAGAAATTGCCACTTGTAGATTGTGGTCTACTATCTCATATTGAATTTGTCAAGAAAACAACAAGTTATTCTTCAGGATTTTCTTTTCATTTTCACAACACTAGAACGACTTATAAATGAGTGGTTCTTAGGATGAAGGAATAGGACCTCTTCTAGAACTCAAAACACGTCGAAAACGAGAAAAGTCTGAATAGCCGTCGAAATCTTAAGCTCGCTATCAGATCTCCCAAAAAAAAAGAATCAGGATCTATCACTCTATCTAAGTCATCGTAGACATGCTGAAATTACCCCAATAGAAGCTCGTGATTTTTGCATATGTTTCCACAAGGAAGTTCAAAATGATCCTCAATGAAGTAGTTCTCGAATTATTCTACATTTTCGCTAGTTCTCCAAATAGACAGCTGAAGTTGATGCGCCATTTCGCCTCGAAACTGATAACATTTAAGGATCCAGAACAGAAAACCAAACTCCAAAAATTGCACTATGAGCAACAAAGATACTCAGTAACCAGTAAGATGTATTTAAACACAACTGGTTCATCAGCACATTTGAGCATTTAAATGAAGTAACGCTGATTCCTTCATCAAGGTTTCTTTGTTATTTACAGTGCTACAGTGCTCCTTAAAGATTTCAAATTTGTGCAACCTCAATCCTCTCGAGGAATTAGGATTTAAAGCACAAGCACACAAATAAACTTCAGAGATTTGCTCACTAAAAATCAATTATTCATTCAAATGGTGTGGTTCAAATGTGTTTCGGAAAGAGCATGTCTAGCGCTACATCGGAATACTAAAATGGATTTAGAGAATGACATGAGGACTGCGGCAGAACCTGCACGAGCTGCTTCGAGAGGTGAATGGCATGAAGAAGACGTCTTGCTGTGTGCCGAGCTGCGTGCGCACTTTCGGCTCCAGCGATGCATCGGAAGAAAAGCAGTGGTAACACGCCGCTAAAAAAGTGAAGAAAAACCACTAACGTTGCAGATGTCAAGACACCACTCTTTCTACAAAAGCGTATTATTTTTCCCTTAAAAGCATTTCCAATTGTTCAAAAAAGCTGTTGCTGGTAAATGTACCTTCTTGGAAACTACTCTGTAATGCCGTGGTAGATCATTTTTCAACTAATACTTTTTATTCAATTTCTCTTCGCATTTTTACAAAGGTTTTCGCAACGACTGACCAAGATATGCACCAAAAAGTGCCCAAGGAACCGAAGTACTCATTCGAAACCTTCGCAAATAAGCCTAGAATGCCATAGAACGGGGTATGTGTAGCGCAGTGGTTACAGGTTCACGCAATACACAGTGGAACAATCGCTGGTCCGATTCTGCGCCCCGGAATTACCTAGCCTTTAATCCAGTGGGTTAGAAAATTGGAACCAGAATTGTCTGGAAGAATAGCAGCGCTGATTTGACACATTGGTGGCCCACTATGAGTCTCAATCAGCACGGACGATGCTTGTAGAAGGCGAAAGCATAGCTCACCCCTCAGCGATTGATCATGGCCGAATAAGCTATCTTTAAACCTTGTGTCATAGAACAAGCGCTATCAGAGAGGTACAGATGAAGCCTGCGCAACGAGTCCAGTGCATTTCCTTTCTGGTTATTTGTTTCGTTGCACTTTTGCATATAATCGATAACTAATCGAACCAAAATGATGTACGGGGTGTTGGCCATGAAAACCTGTTCTCTACCTTGCAAAAAAACTTTTTGTCCAAGTTATTCTTCCTAAAGCAGAAACTGTCTTCGCCCACAAGGGTGGTGTGACATCTACCACCACAAAGGACACTTCCTGGTTAGGACGGTACTAAGATATTTCGGCACAGTCACACAGAGTGCACCAGTGTGGTTCTAATTAGCTTGTCTTCGAAGGTATTACAAATCCTGGATTCTACGCAAAAAAAGACTAACAGCACCTTGGAAATATGATGAACGAGACTTCTCCTATAATACGTAATAGTTGGCAAATTTCTAAAGTATTTAAAAGTACATAAATCGAAATAGAGAATGTGTAAAACATAAATACCACTGAGATGGCCAAAAACTATCTGGTTAAGTAGATCATACGCATCGGGTTAAATGCACACCGCGCACGGCGAAAAATTAAGCGTGCCATGACACAGCTGTCGTCCAAAGTTATCCATAGTCCCGTGCGTACTAAATATTCTAGACCTCAGTGCAATGGAAATTTTGCAAAGCAGCAAATGCTGCCGAAACGCAAACGCCAATAGTTGCCGTTGACAGCTAAATCCCAGACACAAGAGACTGCTGCCACTTTCTCTCTTCTTTACGTTGCTCGAACTTCTCGAAATTCTGTTTTCCTAAGCGGCTCTTACCAAATAGTAACAATACACAGGATACACATTTTCTATACCTGCAAGGAAACCAGTATCCAAAGGATAAACTGAAGGAGGGAATAAAAGCGTTAAAGAATGGCTAACATTTATGAAACACATTAGTTCAGCCTCCATTACGAAATTTCCCTTCTAATTCTATTACGCTTCAAACTATAAAACCCTCCAACATAATAAGACCATAACGCGGTCATTATCATCTCTCCACCACCATTAGTATAAAATGTCTTGAGGTCAATTTTTCCACTGGATTCGCTTATATTGTAATGTACGGATTTATACCACACCAGGCTGAGAGAAGAAGACAAATTGAGCTCTTCAATATTGATACTGAACATATTTCATACTTGATACTTTTTACTCCTTGACAAATACTGATTATTGTCTAAGCTATTTTATCCAAATTGCAGTAAGTATGATCAACGACCTAAACTTTGAATAATTATGTAAACCCACGTGAGAAATTTACACGATGAAAAGAAAATTGCAAAAAATATGTATAAACATAAATAATAGTGAGGTACACAAGAATAACAGAACAATAAGTCCTGAGCAGGCAGACGTTTCATCACAATATAAACTTATGAGATTAAATAACTTAGATGAAGAAGATATTACCTTGACAAAGTGTAAAAAGTGGAGAAATTAGAAGAAAGTAGTCAGTGCCGAACATGTGCAAGTGGAAAATGGTTTCCAGACTTTGTGGACGGCCGTGATTAATATGTTTTATGAGATTGGGTCAGCAATGGCGCAAATCGTCGCGCCTATTACTAACACGCGTCGGTGCACAAAATAATGGTGACTTATAGTAGACTTTTAGCCGACGTCCTGATTCAGGAAGGAAGGAGACACACACTCGTAATGGATTCGGCGGCGCCCAGCTGTCAGAGAAGCGGCTGAATGGGGCAAAACTGAAGCGGATTGCCGAATCAACGAAATGGAGACGAGGTAGTCACAGTCGGATGATCGGAGAAAGAGCACAACCGTCACAGCTAGCAGTTTTCAGCACGAGATTTCCACTGCTGTAAAAACAAATAATTATTTAAGCAACAACATCATTCATAAATATCATTTATAATGGACAAATTATACATCAAAGAGCCTTAAACATAAAGCTGTAACTAAATTGTTCTTAGAAAAGCTCCACTGGTTTTGCCCTTTAGTAAAGATCGAAATTGTAACGCAGTAAAAAAATTAAGACAAATATCAATTTCAGAGTAAAGGGTGGTGGGAAAAGTTAATTTAGAAGATTAACTGGAAACAAGCTCACAATTTGTGAGGAAACGAGAAGAGTACAAAAAACAACACCTGAATTCAAATATATTAAAAAGGAAATTCGATACAAAACAAGCAGAAGGAGTTACGTGGAAAAAGAGACGAAGCAGTTGGCAAAGCCATGCGTCCTGCGAATAACAGAACTACCAAGACCATGAATTAAGGCATGAATTCACAATGTTTAACGTTTTGTTTTCTGCCTTCTATAATTTTCATGGCAGGTTACTAAGCGAAATACAACTACAACGTCGCTGGGATATTTGCAAAACTCTGGACCACAGGTGTCTATGGTGGGGAACGAACGCGCTATTGTCCTTTCCGGAGAGTAACGCGTTCACCACCACACCATGCGGGTCC